GAAGGCTGCTTTGGCTGCTTGAGTTGAAGAAGCAAGTCATATTGTTGTCAACACCATTACCATGATAATTAGGATTGAACGAGACTGAGTTGGAGTTAAAAGAAAAAGAGGACTTAAATTTCGTCGCCATGGAAATGATTGAGAGGCTCGCAAAGAACACAGGAAAATAATAAAGCGAAATAAGGAGAGAACAAGCTTTGATGGAAGACAGCTGGGGTTTATATCACATATTTATAATATTTTTTTTGAGGTTGGTGGGATGAAACTTTTTTTCTAAGATATCATTGTCTATCCATAAATTTAAAAATGTTAGATATTTATTACAAAATTGGGTAATGTAATAATTATTTTTCTAAAATTTGGCAGATTTTACGGTTATTCAAAGAAAAAGAAGAGAATCTGATATTTTTAAAATATATTGAAAAATCAGATATAAAATTAAATAGAAGATTTAATGCTTATTAATTCTCTTCATCTGTTTCAAGAAACTTAGAGGAATAATAATTAAGAGAATAAGAACAAGGATAATATTTTATATTTTAGGAAAAATATTTGAAAAATAGGAATGATAATTAATCTCCTTCGCGCGTTTTATAATTCAAATTTTTATGTATTCTAACTAAAAAAATATTTAAATTTTAATATTATTATAAATTATTATATTTAAAATGATTTAATAATCTAAAAAATTTAATTGTAAAGAAATTAATTTTAATATAGCCGATAATTTAAAAATTAAAATAATATAATAATTTCTTTTTCTTAATTTTTATAACAACATAATTTAATGAAGTAACGAATATAATAGTTATTTAGTATATTTTATTTATTTTATTTTAAATTATCATTATTTTTATTCTTATCGAATTAGTTTAAATTCGAATATGATACATTCTATGCTATTCTATTTAAAAATTTAAATAGAAAAAGTATAAAAGAAAACAAATATAATAAACCTCTACTCGAAACTAGGGAAGTAGAAAGACAATCTCCTAATTAGTTTTCTTGCTGTTCAAGATTCGGGTATTGGTCGTTCTGATATGAAATTGTTAATTCTAAGAGTGAACTACACTAACTCTGTAAAAAAAATTAATGCATTACCACTGATATAGAAAATCAAATGGTTGTCGAAAACATAAAACAACCAATGGAGCTCATTTTTAATAAAATTTGAATATATATATATATATGCAAATAATAAGTGTTCGTATATGTAAAGGCCCAAACCTCGTACCAAAAATTCTTAACGTATGACTCAGAAATAGTTGAATAAGCAGTATATAAAATTTATAATTTAGCAGAAGGAATTAGAGTTTATGGTTATATTTCTTGCACAGTTTACTTAAAATACCCAATAGGCTTACGAGAATGCTTTTAAAAATTTAAATAGAAAAAGTATAAAAGAAAACAAATATAATCAACCTCTACTCGAAACTAGGGAAGCAGAAAGACAATCTCCTAATTAGTTTTCTTGCTGTTCAAAATTCGGGTATTGGTCGTTCTGATATGAAATTGTTAATACTAAAGAGTGAACTACACTAACTCTGTAAAAAAAATCAATGCATTACCACTGATATAGAAAATCAAATAGTTGTCGAAAACATAAAACAACCAATGGAGCTCATTTTTAATAAAATTTGAATATATATATGCAAATAATAAGTGTTCGTATATGTAAAGGCCCAAACCTCATACTAAAAATTCTTAACGTATGACTCAGAAATAGTTGAATAAATAGTATATAAAATTTATAATTTAGCAGAAGCAATTAGAGTTTATGGTTACATTTCTTACACAGTTTACTTAAAATACCCAATAGGCTTATGAGAATGCTTTTAAAAATTTAAATAGAAAAAGTATAAAAGAAAACAAATATAATCAACCTCTACTCGAAACTAGGGAAGCAGAAAGACAATCTCCTAATTAGTTTTCTTGCTATTCAAGATTCGGGTATTGGTCGTTCTGATCTGAAATTGTTAATACTAAAGAGTGAACTACACTAACTCTGTAAAAAAAATCAATGCATTACCACTGATATAGAAAATCAAATGGTTGTCGAAAACATAAAATAACCAA